TTTAATAATTCTCAGACTATCCTTCCCTCCCTTAGACCTCAAATACCACTTAGTTTTTACTTCTTGTGGGAACATATCATGCAGCATTTTGTATTTTAGTTATTTGTGTCTGTGCCTCCTTATAAGGTTGTAAACTCCACTAAGGAAAGAGTTGTCTTTTTTAAATCTTCCTATCTCCTCCAGCAATAGTACCAGCACAATGCTCTAGAAATAACAAATAAATGTTTCATGGAGTCTTAGAGCTGGAAGGGACCTCAAAGGCTGCAGAATCATAGATTTAGAGGCACTTGGGACATCCAGGGACCACTTTGTCCAATTCCCAAATTTTACAGAGCGGGGAACTGAGGCCCAGAGGGATTAAGTGACTTGCTTGATATCATAGAGGTAAAGGAATAAATGAGAGAAGTGAGATTTGAATCCAGGGCCTCTGACGCCAAAGCCAGTGCTCTTAGCCCAACCTTTAGCTTCTATAACATTCACAACAAGCAGACTGCAATGATTCAACTGATCTAAGACAGCTCATTCCACTTCTGATAGTTCTGTTGGGAAGTTTTTCCTTTTCCTTATACTGAAGTGAAATTCAGTCCAATCCAACAAGCATTCATTAAATGCCTATGGTGCTGCAAGATACTGTGCAAGGTGCTAGGAATACAAAGGCAAGGTGAAAAACGATACTAGCCTCCAAGGGGCTTACATGCTACTAAATTTGTTTCTCTGCAGCTTCTACCCATTGTTCCTACTTCTACCCTCTGGGGTCAAACACAGGAGCTTAGAATTGTCTTTCACACTTTACTGAAGTTAAAGCCAGTTGTAAATTCAGATTGGTGATGTCAGTAAACAAATATATGTTCCCTAAAATCCTTTTTTTGTCTCTTCTAGTCAAGGATATTTTAAAAAGATTATCAGATTCCTATTCGCTAAGTGATATTTGTATTTCAATAACTTTTTTTTACAGATAGAAAATACATAATTGGGAGGCAGCTAGATGGCTCAGTGGATAGAACACTGGCCCTGGATTCAGGAAGACCTGAGTTCAAATCTATCCTCAGATACTTGATGTTACTAGCTGTGTGACCCTGGGCAAGTCACTTCACCCCATTGCCTTGCAAAAAAAAAAATACGGAATTGGTTACACACGTGTAATCTATTTTCCTCTTCATATTTAAAGGAATCCTAACTCTTAACCCCTATCTTCAACAGTAATATTATGCCAGGTTCCATGTGCCTTAATTATTGCCTAGGAGTGCATTAGGGGTTTTGTCTCCTTCACTTGTAAAGCTCTCAATTAAGCCCTGATGCCCTTGGGGACTAAAAATATCAGCTCCAAGACCAGAAAAATCTAGTAATTGTACTCAAAAAAAAAAAATCTTCCTCACTGAGTTTTCCATAGGGAGCATACCGCTACACTTAGGACCTATAAGGGGAGAGAGTTATTTTTTATGTCTAAGATTATGATCTTTGTCCCAGAGGCATTCAGATTTATAGATCATTGGCCTAGAGCTTATACATCCTTCTAAAATGAGGCCCATAAGGTTAAGTGATTTGATCAAGGTCACATAGGTAGTAAGCATCAGAGGTATAATTGGAACCCAAGTCCTTTGATCCCTCTTTCCACCACACCACAACTCTAGACTAAGCAATACGGAATAGTAAGTGCCTAATAAATGCATGTGGTTTGGGAGGCATTGTGGTACATGGACACTGCATTTAGAGTCAGAGGATCTAGGTTCAAATCCTGGCTCTGCTTACTATCTGTGTGACCTTGGGTAAATCACTAAAACCCTCTAGGCCGTTTCCTCATTTATGAAATGAGGAAGTTAGACTACATAATCTCTTAAGTTCCCTTTTTACTCTATATACTATGATTCTATGACTGAAAAAGTCAAAGTCGTAAGGAGTAGGGTGTTAGTGCTTAACACAGTACCTAGCACATAACAGGTGATTAATAAATGTTTATTAATTGTTGCTAGAGAAATTGAGAATTGAAACAGTATCAAGACTTCCTCCTACAAAGAACTCTCTGACACATTTTTAGCTATTGTGATCTCCGACGTGCCTTCTAGCTCTAAAATTCTCTGATTTTCTTATTAAATGAGAAACATCATCGATTTTCCAGTTTGCGGGCACATGACACACAAGTTTTGGTTCTAAGCTAGAAATTCTCATGCTTTATACCTCAAGACCACTAGGTGGCAGAGCCAGACAGAACATAACAATTCTTGTCAATTGGATTCAGGGACTTGGAATTCTCAAGCTGGAAGAATTCAGAGGTCATCCAATCTGACTCTCCCATTTTATACTAGAGGAAACTAAGTCTTACTGTATTCATTTGAATTTGAATTCAGTGTGCCACAGTGGATAAAGAACGGCCCCAAACCAGGAAGCTCTGAGGTTTAAAATCTCTGCTCTATGGGCTCTGGGTGGCTTTCCAAGCTAAGGTACAGACAAGGTACTGACCTGCATTGGCAGAGGGAGGTGCCTTTTTAGATAATTCCCCATATCAATGAATCAATGAATCATAGGTGTAGCCCCTATCTCTGTTCCTCTGCCTATTATTCACTCAGCTATGAATTATATTTTACTTTGAAAGATTCAGTACAAAAATGGCTAACAGCATAGTAGAGTAAAATGCTTTCATAATAATAACTGATATTATAATATAATAATACATTATCTCATTTAAACCTTATGACAAACCCTGTAAGGAAAGTGCTATTATCCTTACTTTACAAACGAGGATACAAAGTCTCAGAAAGTTTAAATGATTCTGTACAACTAGTTACTGTCAGAAGTGGGACTTGAACCCTGCCTTCCAAGTCTAACCCACCATCCCTTGCCTCTCACACATGGAATGTATTACATTAAGAAAACTCACCATGTAGTCTACATAGGATGAATTGATGAACTGAGGGATCATGTTATCCATTAGCAGTCAACATGTTTGCCAACCATCACTGTTGTGCCAATTGATTTCCCCTGACCCAGATCCCTGCTGGATCTTCTAAAGTTGCACAGCCCATCCCATTCATCACGCTGAAGGAACTCCCCGTGTCATGTATGTCCAGACTTAGGAATACTTGAATCAATAAACAAATCCTAAGCTTTTTGTTGGCTTCTCTATGAAAACAAATGGCAAAAGACTGTTCCAACTGATATTGGGAATGTCTGTGGGCCTGTTTTTAAATGTATTTTGAAGAATGGAAACAAAATAATGTCAGTGACATTTTGCAATAGTTTGGGAGGAAGGCTGATGGCAGAGAACAGCTGACAGTGATTCAGTAGTATGGTTATTTCAGTTCACTTTAAATGCTTCCTATTGTTTTGGGTGCCTCAAAGTCTTATCAGTACAGTCTCACTATACACAGTAGATGCATTTCTAGAAAGCTTAATTTCAAAGAAATTTGGGTCTATTAACCTGGAACTTACTCATTAAAGAAATCCTGCAATGAGTTCTTCTGTAAAACAAAGATTCCTGCCAAGTGAATAAGGAGGGGAAAAAAACCCATCAAAATGAATAAGGCATGCCCTCTAGGTTTTGGCATGCTGGGTTTTCTTAAAGCAGAAAACACATAAATTCTTGTTGGTAGGCTATATTCCAGGCTTTTCAATTTACTTTAATTCACAATGCTTTTTAACTTAAACACTGATCACTTTTAACTAGTCACACAAAATAGGAATAGAACATGAAATCTAGAAATACAAATCACTGCAATAGAATGTAAACTTCTTGAGGTAGTGGACTGTTTAGGGTTGGTGGTATTATTATTATTGTTATTATTATTATTTTGGTCTTTGTATTGCCAGCGCCTAGCATAATGTCTGACACATAGTAGGCTCATATTGAATTGAAATGAATTTAATAAAATAATGATGTCCTTTATTTCCAATAGAAGGTAAGCTGCTTAAGGGTAGAAACTTACATTTTTCTTTTTGTATATCAAATAGTAGCAAATAGTAGGTACTTAATACATGCTTGTTGATTGATTGATTGATTCTGTGTTCTGTGTCACAGGATTTCAAGTTGGAAGGAACCTCAGAGGTCATCTACTCTGACCTCTGCATATTAGAGATGAAGAAATCCCTTCTCATAAAGATAATTTGCTCACACAGTGGGTAAACACCACTTTTAAATGTAGTGAATATGCCTTGGTTATCTAAGATAGATTGAAATAAACAAATACCTCATTCAATCAGAAAAAAAATCAATGCTAACCAATACTTATTACCTTTTCCACCCCCCCCCACCTCCCTCCCAACACTTTCCACAGAAAATACAGATAAAGTAAAAGCCCTGGATTTGGAGGCAGAGGACCCAGGTTTGAATTCTAGTCCTATCATTTAACTACCTGTTTGTTCTTTTTTCTTTTTTTTGGCTAGGCAATGGGGTTAAGTGATTTGCCCAGGGTCACACAGCTAGTAAGTGTTATGTGTCTGAGGCCAGATTTGAACTCAGGTCCTCCTGAATACAGGGCTGGTGCTCTATCCACTTCGCCACCTAGCTGCCCCTACCTGGTTGTTCTGAGACAAATTACTCAACCTCTCTGGGTCTCAGGTTCCTCATCCTTAAAATGAAGGGAGTGGACTAAGTGAGCCTCTAAGATGCTTTCCAGCTTGAAACCTACACTTCTATGAACATTCATTTATAACCAAACCAAATGCCACACTGCCAGCATTGCTTCCAAGTCTACCTTCTTGCTTGACTTGAAACCCTCTGACAATTCTTAATCAAAATCAAGTCTTGTAAAGTGCTTGGTTACTTTTCAAGCCTCAGTGTCTCATGTGGGTGACGTCTCCTGTGCTCTCTCTCAAATGTTGAGCCAGTTTGATTCCAAACGTGATTATACAGATGGCAAAGTCATTTTCAAGAATTTTCAAATTTGTGCATTCCCTGGACCCCTTGTTCCCCAGCAATGAAAGCCATCAGGTTAAAAGGGGCAGCTCCTATTTCAGAACTCTGTAGGGGAAATTAAAGATAGGGAAGAAAGCCAGACTGTACTTACAGTCTCCTCTCCAACAGAGGCACTAGTGGAGAAGTGGTGAAGGGGATGGGCAGCCCAGTCTCTGCAAGAGTTTGTGAATGCTCCCTCTGGGCCCTTTTGCTTGTCTGTGTGCAGCTAGGTTGATAGAAAAAGGGAAACAGAGAAAAAGAAAACCACCCATTATAAACCTGCCAAAGATACTTTCAACAAGAAGAGTAGGCTTTCCAGGAATGGATTTTACACCTTTTTCTTAAAATGACATCTGTTAATAATTATATAAATTAAAAGGGAGGCAAATGCTTCGGTACTGCTTAACTAGAAAGAGTTTCATTTGGATTCCAAATGAAACACTGTCACTTAATATTTAAAGCATCTGCAGTAGCACAAAACTTCTCTGCAACTCTATTGCCCAGACTAGAAGCTGCCCAACAGAAAATTTCTGAAGGTGCTGAGCTTGGTCCTCATCGTTGGGGCACTTAAAAGTTCTGCTGTCTCAAGAGTCACATCCCTTTTGCATGGGTACTCACGGGGTCTTTGAGAGCATGGGAATGTAAGTTAAGCAAAAACGAGAAAAATTCTCATGCATTAGAGTCATGGGATCAAAGAATCACAGCTTTGAACTTGATGGGACCTCAGAAACCATCTAATTCAACTCCCCTTCATTTTACAAATGAGGAAACTGAGGCCAAGGAAGTGAAGTGACTTGGCCGAAGTCAGTAAGAGGCAGGATTTGAATCAAGATCCTCTGACTCCCAACCTGGTATTCTGAGCCATGCACATGCATCATGAGAAAGGTGGCTTGCTCCCTACCTGTTGGCTCCGGAAATGTGAGTGGAATGACGGCTGCAGAGATGCTACCCAGCTTGGTTTAGGGGATTAATTACTGTTTCGGTCATGGAGCCTAGTGGGTAAAGGAGAGATCCAATGCCATGAGCTACCAGGACATAGGCAAGAGCTGGAGTCACCACCAAGCAGCACTGGAGGAGACTAAGGAGGCAAAGTTGAAGCCGGGAGGTTCTTTCCAGAGAAGAAGGGTAAGGAGGAGGGAAGGGGGAGGGGGAGAAAAAGGGGAGGAGGGAAATAGAAGGGGAAAGTGAATGACTCCCAGGCTTCGGAGCGAGCTCAGGGTGAAGAGACATGGGAGGGGTCTTTCTCTGGAAAGGAAGGAGAGGAAAATGAGACGAGGGGTGGGGAAGGAGAGAGGGAAAGGAATCTGGAGGGCAGGGGGAGAGAATTCTTCGGGGACTGAAAGAAGAGAGGGAGGGAGGGATCAGAAATTCTGGGGAGTGCCCTATCCTGAATGAATTAAAAGGCATAAAAGAAAAAAAAAGTGACCTTGTCCTAGGAATTCAGTCTCAGCATCTCCCAGCAGGATTGCCCGCTTCCCTGGGTGATGGGATGGAGCCGTCCAGTAATGAATTAAAAGGGTCCTTTGGGCTCTCCTGGGAGAGGGGTGGGGAAAGAAGGATGGGCGGGGAATGGGGTAGAAGCTCTCAGAGGAATCGGGAGACTAAACTAAGATCTACAAGTCCTAAATAAGTTTTGCCTTCTTTGCACTTAGACAAAGCGCACAGCACATTTTTTTTCTCCCCTGGCAAATCCTTAACTCTTAACTCGCAGAAAGGCTTTCCCTCCACTTCCGAGGCATCTGGCCTTGCTGCAAAGTGAGACCGTAGTGCTTGGTGTACCCTGTCCCCAGTTCTGAAGAGAGGGAAGATGGATCTAGGGGCGACAAGGGGAGCACGGTGGTCAAACGCTCTCCCGGGAAGGTTCGGAGCCTCCTCACTCTAGTGAAATTCCCATGTCTTTTCATCCTCATCTTGGATCTTTGAGGACCATGTGGGACTCAGGGTCAGGAGATCCGGAATGGATGCCGAAACGTATCAATCGTGTGATTTGTGATTTGCCACTTAAAACCCTCATCTATAAAATGGGAATAATAATGTAGAGAATTGAAGTGAGGACAGAACTGTTGAAAAAAGAGTCTTAAAATCATATGCGAGATGCAGTGTGGTGTAATGGATGGAAGACATAAATTGAGGTCTTGCCTCTGACATCCTAGGACTTTGGATCAGAGACTGGACAAGTAATTTCACTTGTCAGTGCCCCTGGCAATTTTCTAAGACTGAGTAACTAAAGGGTAAGGCAGAAGGACTTTCAATCCGGAAAATTCACGATATGTATGAGATCACAGGTCCATGACTGTATGTGTATGTGTTGAATATATGCTCTGGCTCACTCTCCTCAGAGCCAAGCAAGCTACGTCTCTTCACCCTTCTAGGGCAGGAGTGGGGAACCTGTGGCCTGGAGGCCATATGTGGCCTTCTAGGTCCTCAGGGGCAGCCTTTGACTCAATTCAAACTTCACAAAATAAATCCCCTTAATAAAAGGATTTGTTCTGTAAAACTTGGACTCAGTCAAAAGGCCGCACCCAAGGACCTAGAAGGCCACATGTGGCCTTGAGATCACAGGTTCCTCATCTGTGTCTGGCATATCATGAGGGGGTTAGGAGCATTCTTTTCTCTAATACCATCATCTGGAGCCTCCCCATAGGCTGCTATCTTCCCAGTGGCCCCGGTCCATATAACCATTTAACATCAATTAGTTTTAACAAAGGGTCCAGTAGACCACTCCTTGCTCCTTGGGACATTGATGCCGGCCTGGTTGCAAAAATTAGTCTGGATTTTCACTACTGGATTCATAGAGCTTCTTCTTAATCCCTTTTTAGCATCAACTAGCTGTGTTCCCTCTATTGTTAAGTGCCATTCCATTTAATATCAATTACCTTTACAAATGGATATTTATTTTACAGATACAGCAATAACAAATACAAACATTTCCCACAACATCTGGGGGCATATGTATTACTTAGCCCAGTTCCTACATAGCATTTGGATGCCCAAGTTCATGTCCAGATATGGCCCTACTGTCAAATGAGTCTTCATCTCAGTTTTCTCTGGCCTGGGTCCAGAAGGTACTTCCAAAAATTACTTCTTGTTTCTGGGGCATCAATCCAGCATTGACTACAGACTTCAGTCTGGTGTCCAACCTAGACTGGTAGATTGCTTCTGAGCTTTGAAACTCACAGGGTTGGAGATTCAGCTCCCTTCTCCTAGAACTGAGAACAAACGCAGAGGCCAAAGCCTGTTTCTTCGGGCCACATAAAAAGGCAAAGACACAGTTCCTGCTCTCTAGGAGCTCACGTTACAAACAGCTATGTATGTACTCGATACTTATACAGAGTAGATGGAAGATGTCTCAGAAGGAAAGTTGTCCTGGGGAAGAGAACACAAGGTCTCCTTCGGAAGAAGGAAATTGAATTGAGTCTTAGAGGGAAGGCAGGAAGGCCTTGAGGCAGAGTTGAGGAGGGAGACCATTCCAGGCATAAGGAAGAGCCAATGTCCATCAAGGGGATACTGAGGTGGGAGGGGGGTTGTTGTAGATTTGTAGGGTATAAGGAGGAGCGTAAAGTATAAGAAGACTAAAAGGATCCAGATTATAAAAAAGCCAAACAGAAGATTTTATATTTGATTCTGGAGGCAATAGGGAGCCACTAAAGATTATTAGGAGAGGGGGGTGAGATAGACCTATATTTTAGAAAGAGCCCTTGGCACCTAAGTAAAGAATGGACTGGAGTGGGAGAGACTTGGGTCAAGCAAACCAAAAAGAAGGCTATTGCAAAAGTCCAGGTGGGAGGTAATGACAGCCTACATGGGTGGTGTTAAACTCAAATAGAAAATATGGGGGAGGGGCACCAAACTGTACCTAAGGGTCCCTGAGAGCCACATGTTAACCTAGAAAATTACTTATTAATGTTATGTTTAATTGTATTTTAATTTTGTTAAATATTTTCCAATTCAGTTTTAATTTGGTTCAGGCCAAATTGAGGGTGTTGAGGGCTCATGTGTGACACCTCTGTCCTATGCTAAGGTGGCAGCTCGGTGAATGGAAAAAAGGTGACATAGAGGAGAAATAGTATGAAGGTAGAAATGACAAAATTATATAAGTATTAATTAAATGATAAATTCTGACAAGAAAGCATGTTTGTCTGTTAAATTTACAAAACCGTGTTTGGGAGTGATTGTGATCTCCAGACAAACCAGTTATGTTTGGCCTAGGAACTTTCTAAAGACTGGTAATTTTTGTGAACCTTGTATGTAAGTACTGTGCTGGATGGAATGGTGAGACTCTTTATGTGGCATTTAGGGGACCAACAAGAACTATGCTACATATCTTGTTTAAGACTTTAGTATCTCTCTCTCTCTCTCTCTCTCTTCTCTCTCTCTCTCTCTCTCTCTCTCTCTCTCTCTCTTTGTGAGGCAATTGGGGTTAAGTGACTTGCCCAGAGTCACACAGCTAGTAAGTGTTATGTATCTGAGGTCACATCTGAACTCAAGTCCTACTGACTCCAGGGCCAGTGCTCTATCCACTGTGCCACCTAGCTGCCCTGAGACTTTAGTATAAAGTACAATGCTCAAGCCTCCCCAGGACCCTCTACAACTTTCCAAAATTTGGAATATGGACAAATGTGCAAAATGCAACCCCAGGTGATTTGCAGAGGATGGCAAATATTTAACCAGGAGAAGAGAGTAGTAGGGATTGAATTGGACTATTGGAGACATTCCAGGGAACATGTGCTCAGATTTCCCTTGAAAACTTCCAAGCCCGTGTTTCCTAGAATGGCCCCTATAGACCAATTCTACCCCTGAGATACATATGTAGATGATATAGATATAGATATAGATATAGATATAGATATAGATATAGATATAGATATAGATATAGATATAGATGATATAGATATACACAAGTACATATGGATGTATGTGTATATACACATACATACATACATACATACACACTTACATAATATATGGAGAAAGAGAAGAGAAGAGGAGAGGAGAGGAGAGGAGAGGAGAGGAGAGGAGAGGAGAGGAGAGGAGAGGAGAGGAGAGGAGAGGAGGGGAGGGGAGGGGAGGGGAGGGGAGGGAGGGAGGGGGGGAGGGGAGGGAGGGAGGGGAGGGAGGGGAGGGCAGGGGAGGGGAGGGGAGGGCAGGGGAGGGGAGGGGAGGGGAGGGGAGGGGAGGGGAGGGGAGGGGAGGGGAGGGAGGGGAGGAGAGGAGAGGAGAGGAGGAGGAGAGGAGAGGAGAGGAGAGGAGAGAGGAGAGGAGAGGAGAGGAGAGGAGAGGAGGGAGAAGAGAAGAGAGAGAGGAGAGGAGAGGAGAGGAGAGGAGAGGAGAGGAGAGAAGGAGAAAGGAAGAGAGAGAAGAGAAGAGAAGAGAAGAGAAGAGAAGAGAAGAGAAGAGAAGAGAAGAGAAGAGAAGAAGAAGAGAAGAGAAGAGAAGAGAAAGAAGAGAAGAGAAGAGAAGAGAAGAGAAGAGAAGAGAAGAGAAGAGAAGAGAAGAGAAGAGAAGAGAAGAGAAGAGAAGAGAAGAGAAGAGAAGAGAAGAGAAGAGAAGGGAAGAGAAGGGAAGGGAAGGGAAGAGAAGAGAAGAGAGAAGCAAGAGAATGAGAGGGAAAGAGGAGAGGGAGAGAAAAAGAAAGAGAGAGAGGGAAAGAAACTACTACTGAAAGGTAGGCAGAGTAGGAGAAATTATACTGGAGTCAGAAGAGCTGGGTTTCATCCTGTCTCAGACACCAATTAACTATATGACCCTAGGTAAGTCACTTCGCTGCTCTGAGTTTCACTTCCTTCATCTGGAAATGGAGTTGGAAAAGATGGCCTTTCAGGTCCCTTTCAGCTCTAGATCTGTGATCCTACGATCTGTAAAATGAAGATATTAATACTCAAACTATACCTGTCTCACAGGGTTGTTGTAGGGAAAGTTTCTCTCTCTCTCTCTCTCTCTCTCTCTCTCTCTCTCTGTGTCTGTCCCTGTCTCTCTGTCTCTGTGTGTCTATCTCTGTCTTTCTGTCTCTGTGTGTCTATCTCTGTCTTTCTGTCTCTCTCTGTCTCTGTCTGTCTCTATATATACATATATGTGTATATGTAATTTTCCTCTAGCAGCATGATTGGACTAGAGTATGTCCCATAGAGCTGGCATTCAATCCACCCCCTTCTAGTGGGACTTGTATTCTGGCTCCTTGCTGAAAGACAGGAATGGCTTGGCAGCTCCTGGTTGTTTCCCCAATCCACATGACTTGGTGTTGTGTTGAAGATAATTGGTTATAGCTAGTACCCCTCTGCTGTCTGAGGAATTCACAAAGTCTGGAACTTCTGGCCAGCTAGGCTGGCCCTTCAGTCCCTTCAGATACAGGATAATCCATTCAGTGGTTATCTCCTTAACCAAGAAGTGTTACAGTAGCAGACACCACCTCCACC